AGAAAGACTGTAAATATACAGGTACATGTTAATCTGCTAGTTTATATTTAACTCACAAATGGAACACAGAAACTTTTGGATTTGCTTAACTTTTAGCAAATAGTTCATATTTAACCATGTTCTACATAATGAAAAATATATTATTTAATACAATAAACAGCTAAATGGCAACACAATAATTTTTTTTAATGTTTTATTCACAATTTTTAAAACTATCTACACACACAGGTTTCTTATTTACCAGTAAGTTGCATCATGCATAAGATATTATGCAGTATGTTCATTAAAAAACACACATGTTCGTAAAATGTACTCACTGCTAAAAGTGCCTGTTGCGTTTGTGTTATAATGGGCAAATGACTCCCACAGGTCTCCCTCGTCGCTGTGCATTCGAGCGTACACTGTGACGGGACAGTGGGGGGGCAGGAAGCGACCTTTGATGCTGATCTTCTCGTCCATGAGGGTGCGAACAGGAGCGGCCGTCAGTAACGGGGCTGGTCTGGCGCTGCTCCTCCACCGAACTGAACCTGCATTACAGAATAAAGACTTTTCACAATTCTTATGTAAATGTACTACTATTATAAAGTTTAAGATTTTAGGGACTGGTTGGCTGAAAAACAAACAACAAAACTGAAAAATAGTCTAGCATTACTGGAAAAATCGTATCATCCACCATATTGTATGTAAAAGTTTAAACAAAGATGTCACCTGATCTTGTTGCACATTTAGGATGTGATGGGGATGACAGTCAGCTACTACCACAACATTTAATGAGCTTCCTAAAAATATACAGAATTACCTGTGAGCTGCTGCAGACATGTTAGTTTCCCATGAACCTTATGAAGTAGTTTCATCTTCATGCTGTTGAGCTGCAGAATCGCTGTCACACTCACGCCTGCGCTGAACATTACAGCGTCTCTGTTCAGTCTGAAAACAATATGGAGAAAATGTCAAACGCCAAATTAAAGCTGCAAGCAGTGACGAACGGTCCTTGCACCTTGATGCTTTCAATTCTAGGCAATGTGCACTGTCACCTCCATGCAAAACTAAATAAATAGTAGGAAAAACAAAACTCATAAATCTCCAGGGGCAGTTTGTTCAAATGTAAAAGTTAGAAAGGGAAAAAAGTGGTTTCAAATTTGGCACGGTGAGTCAAAATGACCGCCAACCACAGTTAAACGTTACCTTGTTATACGTCATCTTACAAGCCCTTAAGTCAGAAAATGATGACCATGAGTAAATCGTGACTTCCTGCTATCAGTGGGCGGGGCTAAGGACATGGAGTAATTTTGAAATGTGGATGTGTTTAGGATCAGGCTGTTCTCAAACTTTGGTGCAGACCAGACGTTTTATGTTGTAGATATAACAAGTTTTTTAAATTTGTGTTTCATGGCAAAAAGCCAAAGTTTAAAGTTTTACCATGCCCACATGCTGAGATAAAACATTAATCAAGCATTTGATCACCTTTAATCCACCATGTCTTAATAATATATTGACCAAGGTTGAAGTTGATACTTTAAAATCTCCAGGAGTTCATTCATGTAAAGGGTGGAAATGGCAAATAAATAAATAAAAAAAAACAACTTATAAATCATGACTGCAATTTGAAATGGCTGACTACATGTATGTATTTAAGGACAACGATGCAAGAGATTTTTTTGAAGTCCTTGATGAGTTTAACAAACAAAATTGTCCACATTGATCCACCAGAAACAATGTCTTTAAAAAAGTTTGTTTTTCTCACTAAAAACTTAAACAAAGCAGAAATTCAGTTTTTAAACTATCCAGATTACCAACAAAGTCCATGCTCAATAATCCAGGTATACAAGAAACTGTCCAGATGACCTGACTGAAAAATGTTGGACATCCAGATTACCGGTGGTGTGGAAGGGGCCTAACAAATCTCTTTAACGGGTAAGATATTTTTTGTTCATAACCTTTGCACAGAAACCCATTTAAATTCAATTCAGTTTATTTATACAGCGTCAAGTCACAACAGAAGTTGTCTCAGGGCACTGAACAGAAACATTCACATATATAAATAATAATTTAACATTATTTATCTGAGGAGCAGACTGCTTTGAGTTTAACTTCATCACAGAACTCTCATCTTGAGCGCGAAGGCGACAGTGGAAAGAACAAACTCCCTCACGAGGAAGAAACCTTTAGCAGAACCAGACTCAGGTCAAGAGGCCATCTGCTTCAACCAGCTGGGTTTGAGAGGAACAGATACACAATGGCAGGTCAAGAAGCACATGTAAAGATAGAAATAGTCTCAAATGAAAACTATTCAATTTTAGCAAATAATTTAAGGAAATTAGGTCAATTAGTCCTCTAATAGTCAAAGCTTAAGGCAGCATAACAATCCAACCCTAGTTATTAAACTTGAAGTTTAAATCCAGGACTCTAGATCCTGTTAGATTATAGGATTAGTACAAGACTCATTCAACCTTATTTATGCAGGTTAGTCTCTTAAACTCGGGACTAAAACCACTAACTTTGTTATTTAAATCCGACCCATATTTAAAGTATTCATGCCAGTCCTTATGAGTAACACTGAAATAAATAATGATTAACCAAACTGGTGCATATACTGAACTCCTGAAAGAAAAATCCATGGAGCAAAGAGCAGATCCACCAGGTGAAAGTTGATAAAAACACAGGACTGTCGAGAGGAACAATCTGCAGAAAGTGCAAGAAGAAAATAACAAAGTGCTGCTGTTTGAGTCGAGCATGATGAACCTGAGAAGTTCAAATGTTTCAGTTCAAATGTTTCCTCACCGTTTGTGTGAACAGAGTCTGCAGGAACAGGAAGAAGCTGCAGACAGACAGGAGGGATAAACAACCTTTAAAGGAGGAAGGTCCACTCAGGCCTGGATGAATCTATACAACCTGGTCAATCAGTTATTGTTGTTTAGACTTTGTTATCTGTCAAGATTTGTCAAAATTTAACTAAACTGCTTGTTTGTAAACTCTTTACCGCCACCACCTGGTCTGGAGGAGTCATTACTTCAACATCTTCTGGAACTAACAAGGTCAAGTTTCTTTATTGTCTTTAACATCACATGTGGTACATGAGGTGGAACGAAATTGTGTACACAAGGTCCCAGTTACATCCAACAATAGCAAAAATATAAATTGTTAAAATAAACATTAAATAGGCATCTAAGATATAAACTAAGATATATGCTAATAAACACCAAACAGTATGATAAAAGATCTAAGATATATGCTAATCAGTCACTAACAGTGCAAAACAATACACCAAATAACAACAGCATGAAACATGAGTCTTTGTGGGTAGATGAGTACGAATTAACCTTATCATTCTGTAATCAGTTTTTGCTTTGATGTTCCCATATCTAAGTCTGCCTCTACTACGCCCTTTTTAGTTTTACACTATTGTGAATGGCCATACTTGTTTGTATTTGTTTTCGATTTCTTTAAAAAAAATTAAGTTCATCCTGATTTGGTTTTTGCTCCACCAGCAGTCATATTCTACTGCACCAAATGATGCACTTGTATGCAGTGGCAACTCCTACGTCCATATGCTCTTAGTGGACTTCATGTCTGCCTTCAACACCATGATCCCCCAGACCCTGATGGACAAACTATTCACACTAGGACTAAGCCCCTCCATTTGCAAGACTTCCTAGACTTCTTAACAAACAGTCTGAGGCTACACAAATTCTCCTCCTCCACCATAACCCTCAGCACTGACTCTCCTCAAGGATGTGTGTTGAGCCCCCTCCTGTTTACTCTGCTCACATATGATTGTGCAGCTACCCATCCAGGCTGTCATATTGTAAAGTTTGCAGATGATACAGCGGTGGTGGGATGCATCACAAACAATGATGAGTCCAGCTACAGGCAGGAGGTGGAACACCTGGAGAGCTGGTGCAAAGAGAATAACCTTCACATCAATGTGAAGAAGACAAAAGAGATGATTGTGGACTTCAGAAGGAACAAACACACCTACACCCCCTGAACATAAGAGGATCTGCAGTGGAAGTGGTCTCCAGATACAAGTACTTGGGTGTACACCTGAATGACAACCTCAGCTGAGGCAACAACACCACCAGCCTGATAAAAGAAAGCTCATCAGAGACTCTACTTCCTCAGAGGCTGAGGCGAGCTGGTCTGGGAAGTTCAGTCCTCGCCTCCTCCTACAGGTGTGCAGTGGAGAGCATCCTGTGCTCCAGCATCAACGTGTGGCATGGAGGCTGCACAGCTACAGAAGAAAAGCTTTGCAGAGGGCGGTGAAGGCTGCACAGAAGTCTGTTGGAGTCAGTCTCCCCACCATCACAGACATCTACACCTCCAGATGCAGGAAGAGGGCACCTGCATCATGAAGGACCCCACTCATCCAGCACACACACTTTTTGCCCCGCTCCCCTCAGAAAGGAGGTTGAGGAGCATTAAGTGTAGAACCACTAGACGGAGGAACAGCTTCTACCCTGAGGCTGTTAGACTCATGAATCTCTAACAAGAATAATCACAGTGGAAAAAATTACAAAATGATGCTGCTGATCTGTTTCATGTTGCTGCTGATCTGTTTCATGTTGCTGTGTTCATTTGTGCTCATCTGCTCACACAGACTCATGTTCGTGCTGCTGTTCGGCATAATATATTTATGCTACTAGTCCTTAGTGTATTTTTAGTTTATGTTATTCTTAGTTCATATCTTAGATCTTATAATTGTTTTTCTTTTACATTTTATTGTTGGATGTAACAGGGACCCTGTGTACATAATTTCATTCCACCACATGTACCACATGGGGTGCGAATGACAAATAAAGAACCTTGAATCCTTGATTAACATTATTCAAGATTTAAAAAAATCTAATTCTTTCCTTAACAAAAGCAGAAAGAGAAAAATAGACCCCCCCCCCCCCCCCCCCCACACACACACACACACACATTTAAACAGTCATACACACACTAAACACACACACACACCAGGGAAATTTTTATAAGCTAATTGTTTCAGAGCAAAGCTCTAACCTCAGATGTCCATTAGATGTCCATTGTGCAATGAAAGGACTACATGTGGTTGATCAATACAGCAGTAATTTGGGTGAGGTCTAAAACACATGGCTGTTCATTCTTCAGTCTCACTCAGGATTCCAACAGGACGGAGGAGCAGCGACAGATGGAGGTAAGAACAACTAACATCTTGAGCAAATTCTTGATCCTACTAGGAACATTTTCAAACACAACATTAATGCAGAAATATGGTGTGTTCAGTGTCTCAATATCAGAAAAAGAATGCATCTGTGTGAGAGTAAGACAGGAATCTGTTTAAATTGTTTTCTGCAGGCTTCAAAGGATGCCATGTCAGACCTGGAGAGCAGTATGGCCACTATTGTTCAAGTTTTCCATAAATACTCCGGTCATAAGTGTAAACTGAAGAAAACAGAGCTTAAAGCGCTCATCAACAATGAGATGAACCATTTCATTATGGTAAGTCACTGATCGAGAGCCAAATGTAGATTTAACAATACATTTCTTAATAATTGTTTCAATAAGTCATGGGAATAGCTCACAGACTTTGAGGCTGCATGTCACCTTTTTATTTTAATTTTTAATTAACCCGAGAGCTCGGTGTAAGAAAACTGCATTTATGGAACTATGCAGACATTTGCAGAGACTTGACACGAGCAGAATTTTAATCTTGTTCAGTGTACTTCTTTTCATCGTTTTCTTATTAAACAGAAAATCCACGAGAACGAGACTCTGGATCAGCTGTTTGCTGATCTCGACCAGAACGGAGACCTGGAGATCGACTTTCAGGAGTTTGTTACCCTGATCGCCATGGTCACCTCGGCGTGCCATGAGTTCTTCACCCTGAGCTTCCATGATCAAATTAATTAATCAGCTGCATGCTAAAACGTGAGGGAGACAGAAACAGCTTGTCTTTATTGTGTTTGATATTTTGCAGCCTGTGTGACAAAATGAACAGCTTTGATGGTGGTTCATTGTGTCATTTTAAGACTCATTCATTCATGTATTTTCCATGGCTCCCTTTTACTGATTCAGGCTGGAGGACCACAGTCCATCCCGTCATCAAAAAGATAAATACAAGTTGTGATAATTTACTGAATAAAACTTCACTGTTCCTAAAATGTAGTACAAGTATTTCTTACAGTGCACAAGCTTTACTCAATTAGACACAAAATAAGTTTTGATATAACCTAATGCATCAGATCTAACAGCTCATTGTTTAAAATGATGGAATACATTCTTAAATGGTTTCGCAAGAACATTTTTATTCATTTTGTTGCCATGCAGTTCTTGAGTGTGCAGATTCAGAACCTGTATAGGAACTTTGGTAGTTTTTTTTTTTTTTACATCGGCCATGATGACTGAACATGCTCTGAAGTGGTGTGTTAGCATAACAGCAACTTGTAACTTGTGCTACATCTGTTGTAAAACACAAGTTCATTGTGAATGTATAAATAGAACAAAAAAATAAAATATACCAAAGTGGTGTGTTATAATGTTAAATATCTCTCTTTGTTAAAGTTAGTGTTGGATAAAAATAGCCTCTATTCATTTTATTTACTCAAAGAAGTCACACTCGAGGACACAAAAATATTTTTAGTTTTACTTGTACGGACAGACTTTCACCACAGGTTACTCAGACGTACAGAAGTTTTTACATGCATGGAGCCCAGTCACGAGAATCTACCACAGGCAGCGTGTGAGGTTTGTTTTATAAACTCATCAGCTCTCAAGGGAAGACTGATGACCTCGTCCATCCAACTGCACATGCAGGATCAAATCATCTCCTCATTCAGCTCTCTCTGAGAGAGAAAATAACTCTCTGCTAACTCAAACACATGGTTCATGGGCAGTTAACATTCTCAGACATAGTAGTTAAAAACATCCATAAACCTTGACAGTTGCTTCTTTAAAACATTTATGTCAACTCACAAACTTGAAGCTTTTCTGACTTTTTGAACGAGCTTAAAGGATAGTTCAGACTTTTTGAAGTGGTAAGCTGTTATCAGTAATTAATATTTTACCTGAAGTCTGATGAAGGATTAAAAAAATATGCCCCCAATTTTGCTAGCCATCAGCCTAGCCTGGAGGAAGATTTCTACTCTTTACTCCAAACACTGATGTCATGGCTGATACCATACCATACCATTTTATTTATAGAGCACTTAAAACAGCGACAAGGCCAACCAAAGTGCTGTACAGACAGAACAACAGGTAACACACAAAGCAATATACAAAATGAAGTAAATCAGAATATAGACATAAAAACGATGCAGATAATGACAACAAACCAGTGTGGAGCATACAGGTTCAAAACACAGATCATCTGGTGTTGAAAGCCACCAAATAGTAGTGAGTTTTTAAACAGAACTTGAAAACCGAGAGGGAGGGGGCCTGTCTGACAAGCAGAGGTAACTCATTCCAGAGTCTTGGTCCTGCTACAGAGAAGGCCCTGTCACCTCTGCGCTTAAGACGAGTTCCTGGAACTGTGAGGAGCAACTGTGATAAAGTACTAGCTACTAGTGACAGCCTGAAGTCACTTCAAATATGACCAGTCCAACTATTTAACATGTTTAACAGCACATGGTTTACAAGAACCATCACCAGTTAAAAAAAACCAAAACAACAACAACAAAAAATAACGGTTGATTAGTGTTAAGTGTAAATTGCTATCAAATGCCAAAGCGACGTACGTTTAGAAAAACTGATTAGATATTTCTGAGAATAAAGTTGAAATCTCATTTGGTCTTGGCTGGACTCCTCTTGCAATGCAAGAGTAGAACATGTAAACTCCACCCAGAAAGGCTGAGAGATGAACCTAGACCTTCTTGCTTTGAAGCGTAATGCTAACCAATGCTCCACCATACCACCCTTCTTCTACCATACAATGTTATTCCTGCAAATGACCAAGCCATGTTGTGAATCAACAACAGAATTATCTACATTTATACTTAAATTGCTCTATTTAAAGGTATATAAGAAATATTTTACCCCGTTGACTAGTATGAACTCAAAGTGACCTGACATTTATGAGTTCAAACTGCTGCTGTAATAACTTTCACTGACTGAAACTGCACAGCATCTGGTTCTGAAGTCACAGCTCTGAAACAACAGAACAGCTTCCTCTGGTGGAGAATCTGCTGCTTAATGAACAGCAACAAATACATTTATGGGACTTTTACCCAGATAAATTTATTGTTCCGTGTAGGATCATGTAAAATACCACTCCAACTTATCAACACCTAAGGTTCTTATCCATAAAATCCAGAATCTTTGTCCAGGCATCTTCCTGGGCAGCAGCATGAGGTGCAGGGTGCCCCCCCCACATAGTGATCACTACAGGAAAAAAAAAAGACACTTTAAAGTACAGAGTGAAATTTCTAAGGAAAAAGGAGTGAATAGTATAAAATAGTATTTTGTTACTTTACAACAAATATTAAAGCTTACATTTCTTGGGTTTGACGGACCACATAGAGGCTCGAACGCTCGGTGCATAAGGTGGCTCGATTAGGTGTCCGGCTCCGGGGTACGACAAGCGGGTGAACAGGTTGGACTTACCAACAGACTTCAGGGATTCCTCAATCTGATTATTAACAAATCAACATTTTAAAATCAATAATTTACTGTAAAATAATAATAATAAAAATTATATATAGTCAGAGTCAAAGAAATTTATTTGTCATACACACCACTTGTGATACATGAGGTGGGACAAAACTATATACATAGGGTCCCAGTTACATCCAACAAAAACACAAATTGTAAAGAAAACATTAGTACAAACCGGATTCCAAATAAGTTGGGACACTAAACAAAATGTGAATAAAAACTGAATGCAATGATGTGGAGATGGCAAATGTCAATATTTTATCCATAATATAACATAGATGACAGATCAAAAGTTTAATCTGAGTAAATGTAACATTTTAAAGGAAAAATATGTTAATTCAAAATTTCAGTGTCAACAAATCCCCAAAAAGTTGGGACAAGTAACAATAGGTGGCTGGAAAACGGAAATTGAGCATATAATGAACAGCTGGAAGACCAATTAACACTAATTAGGTCAATTGACAACATCAGAGAGTCAGAGTCAGAGTTTCTTTATTGTCATTCGCACCTCATGTGGT